CTCTCCAGTCCAAAACAGTCCAGTGGCACCTTTAAGACCAAGTTTTATTCAGGTACAAGCTCTCCCTCCTCTATGAGGGCAGATCTGCACGTTCCCCCCCCCCCAATAGCTAGCGATCCAAAACAGTCCAGTGGAGCCTGAGCGGTGGGTGTTGCCTTCTGACACACTTCCGGTGATGTCAGGGGGTGTGGCACATGCAAATAAGTTATGCTAATGAGTCATGCTAATGAGCGCCTGCCCCTCTTTTTCTACGAAATAAACAAAGTAACATCTGGACTGCTGTTTCTATGTCTTAATTTTGAGCAAGTTTTGGGGCTGGCGTTTGATGATGATTAGGGTGAACATGAGCCAGTACAGGCAAGAAGTCCCTCCCATCTTCTGCTTCACTCCCCTCCCCCTCCCCAGATAGGGCCGGCCCCAGCTTATTTTGCACCCTAGGCAAGGATCCCTTCTGCCCCCCCCCCGGCGCCCACCAATTTTCCAAAATAAATGCATTTTAGGAAGAATGAAAAACACAAATAACCAAGAAACTCCCAGAGTACGGGCCAGGTGCAGTTTGGCGCCCCTAAGGGCCAGCCCGCTCTAGGCGATCGCCTAGTTCACCTAGTGAGTGAGCTGGCCCCGGCCCCAGAGAGACAGTATTTTATTGCTTTCACCCTGATAGTCAGGTTGTTTCTTTGGTAGATGGTGGTGCACTGAAAGTTTTCAGCTGTCAGAACAAAGTTTGAGTCCAGTGGCACCTTTAGTCCAGTGGCACCTTGAAGTCCGACAAAGTTTTATTCTGGGTATAATTTTTCATGTGCATGTGCACTTCTTCAGATACATTGAAACCCGGTTCTCCCAGATTAGAGTCCATGCTCCTCACCACTACACCGAACTGGAAGGGCTAATTAGAGTCCAGATGTGTAAGTAATAAGTAATTGTACTTGTTGGGGCTGGCTTTGTTTCCCTTGCTGGGGTTTGAGTGTTTCCTGGGGGAGCGTCATTATCTGTTTGCAGGTTGCAACTCTGTAAAAACAAAAAAACCAACAACCTGATTCTGGGTCCAAATTGGCCTAGCTCTAGTTAATTCCTCTCAACTGCTTCTGATCTGACCCATGAAATTCTTTTAATTTAGAAGAAGAAAAGATTGGATTTCTACCCCGCCCTTCACTACCCCAAGGAGTCTCAGAGCGGCTTACAATCTCCTTTCCCTTCCCCTCCCCACAACGGACACCCTGTGAGGTAGGCGGGGCTGAGAGAGCTCTGACAGAAACTGCTCTTTTTCAAGGACAGCTCTTCTCAGAACTACGGCTTGCCCAAGGTCATCCAGCCAGGTGCAAGTGGAGGAGTGGGGAATCGAACCCGGTTCTCCCAGGTTATCGCCCGTGCACTTAACCCCTGCACCAAAGAGGGGCACACATCTGCACTGTTTTGCCGTCCCCATCTTCTTTGACCTTCAATCTTTCCCAGCATCAGGGTCTCCTCCAGGGAGTGCTCCCTTCTCATTTGGTGGACAAAGTATTTGAGCTTCAGTTTCATTATCTGGCCTTCCAGGGAACAGTCAGGGTTGATGTCTTTTAGGACTGACTGATTTGATCTTCTTGCAGTCCAAGGGACTCTCAAGAGTGTTCTCCAGCACCATAGTTCAAAAGAATCTATTCTTCGGTGCTTGGCCTTCCTTATAGTCCAAGTCTCGCAGCCATGCATGACTACTGGGAATACCATTGCTTTGACCATGCGGACTTTGGTTGGCAGGGTGATGTCTCTACTTTTTATCAGGCTGTTTAGGTTCGCCATCGCTTTCCTCCCAAGGAGCAGGCGTCTTTTAATTTCATGGCTGCTGTCACAGTCTGCGGTGATCTGGGATCCCAGGAACGTGAAGTCTGTCACTACTTCCACGACTTCCCCTTCTATTTGCCAAGGAGTGATGGGGCCGGATGCCATGATCTTAGTTTTTTTGATGTTGAGCTTCAAGCCCACTTTTCCGCTCTCCTCTTTTACCCTGAGCAATTGCTCTCCTTTAATTATCTATGTACCAATGATGATGGTATAATTAAGCAAGTTAAGAAGCAATAGTTATATTTTAATGAAAGCTTAAAATGGAAGCAGAGATTCTCTGATAGTATTCACTTGCGTACTATACCCATAACGAATCTGAAATGCTACTAAGGTATTCCTCTGACTAGGTTAAATGATCTGATATAGGAAAGCTAACGAAATGCCCAGGGCTTCTTAAGTGCATGCCCATATCTGAATCAGGGCTGACTGGAGTCATCCAGAAGAATCTAACAAGCTGGCTGTTAGCTCGGCTGCCGTGAAGGCTGGTGTGGAGGGGGAAGGGATTCCTTGGAATGTAACTTTCACTTTCTTGCTGTCTGCGTGATGCTCCCTTACCTGAATGGTTTATGTGTATGACCTTGGTTCCTCGTTGTAACATCGTCCTCTGGGAACAAGGGGCCGTTAGATTCTGGCAGGCCCCGCTCCTTACCTTGACTGGCTCTCTGCCGCCTTGTGTCCTTCTTTGAACCCCGTTTCTCTGTCTACCCCGCACTTTTTCCTTCAGTCTTAACACAGATCCTGAGGTAGTGACGTTCTGCCGATACTGATCAATAAACTGATCTTCTAAAGAAGCAAGTCGTTGATTCTGATTGTTGCAGGAGTCTGACACTGGCAAGATATGCCAACCTCCATTTCCTCTAGAGCAGTGGTGGCGAACCTTTTAGAGACCGAGTGCCCAAACTGCGACCCAAAACCCACTTATTTATCGCAAAGTGCCAACACGGCCATTTAACCTGAATACTGAGGTTTTACTTTAGAAAAAACAACCCATACATTAACTTAAGATGATCCAAACAAAGTAAGGAAAGCAATCCCAAATGCTTTCATGTACTTAAAATTATTTGGCAGAGAATTCGACACTTTAATGATGGTCTGGGCCTGGCTGGGGCGATGGCACGCGTGCCCACAGAGAGGGCTCTGAGTGCCACCTCTGGCACCCGTGCCATAGGTTCGCCACCACTGCTCTAGAGTGAAGGCTCCGTTTAGTTTGCCATGGCTGTGGGGGAAGGGAGAATTCCTACAAAGGGGGGGGGAGTGAATGCTGAGTGTGTGACTCGCTATCGCAGAAGCTATAACTTTTCCCGAAAAAGCCTTCCTCCCAGAGGAACGTCCTTGAAGCCTTTGGTGCCAGCTTGCTAGGGTAGATAGTGGGATCGTATATTTTCCCAGAGGGGGTGGGTGGACAACGCAACAGCTAGGCGGGATGAATGCAGTGTGTGATTGGTCACCCATGACGGTGGGGTCTTGTTTGAATTACCTGTAACTGTGCCTGTACCCACCAAAACTCTCAGTTCTGACACAGTGCTGTTCTGGCCTGGATCATGTCTATTTCTCAATGAACAAATCGCTGCCGAGGAGTGTTGTTGGGAGTAACTTGTCCAGAAGCCTGACAGTTTCTTGCCTTGAAAATCCCACCAGGTGACTTGATGTCACTTTATCAGGGCTATTTTTGGGCAGGAACGCACAGGAACGGAGTTCCAGCTGGCTCCCGAGTTGGCCACGCCCAGCAGGAACTCATTAGCATAATAGGCCACACCCAACAGCAGAAACTCATTAGGACTGGCTACATTAGGGGTGTGTGGCCTAACATGCAAAGGAGTTCCTGCTACAAAAAAAGGCCCTGGGTTTTGACAACAAACAAGGTAAACAGAATAAGAAGCAAAAGGCGAGTGTGTCTGGATGACCACACTTCTGCGAACATGGGGTGTGTGGCCTAATATGCTAATGAGCTGTGCTGTCAGGGGTGTGTCCTAATAAGCAAATGAATTTCTGCTGTTGGGTGTGGCCTATTATGCTAATGAGTTCCTGCTGGGCTTTTTCTACAAAAAAAGCCCTGCTTTACACACAAGTGGGGGGGGGGGAGAGAGCGAGAGCGAGAGAGAGCTGCTCTGATAAAACGCTGCTTTGGATTTTAATGAGGCTTTGATCTATGGCAAGCAATACGCACCGAGTGAACATTCACATTAACTAAAATCCACAACAATTTCAGTCTTAGAACGCTTTATTTTTTTAGTTTGAAAGGTTTCGTAGGTTGCTGCTAAAACAATTTTAAGGACAAAATCTACCGGGAAGTTCTCTTGCACAAGAGAGCTTCTTTGTAGACTGTGTCTTGCATTTTAGGTATCACTGGTGAAATTTAAGGACAGTCACGTAGCAGTTTGTCAAACTCAATGTTCTCAGACTCTTAAAGATGGAACTTTGACATACAAAAGCTTACCCCCAGGAAAATGCTGTGGGTCTGTAAGGTGCTACAGTACTTGACTTTTTGCTCTGCTACTATGGACTAACACAGCTACCCACCTGAAAACCTTAAACTCCGTTTTCTTTAACCTGTTTGAATAGTGCCAGACAAAGAAGCGTTAACAACACCTTTTACGTCAATGAGATCAGGAGGGTGCAACTCTGCTTAGGATGGCGACGTAAATCTTACAGCTTCAGCCACAAGCTAACGGGATGCAGGTCACAGATCTTTACCTGTGAAAGGTAAACTGTGAGTGCCCAATAATGCCTGTATTTTCAGTTTGGGGCCACAAGAGAAGGACAGATGGTATTTAACCTGCTAAATCAAAACTAGGCACTGTTAACTAGTGTTCTAATGGGAAAGAAAGCATTTGTTCTTTCAAAAGAAAGAACTGCCTGTGAATTGGGGCTCTGTAGGCAAACAATTTACCTTTTTGGGATAAATGGAGAGTCCCCATCTTCTTCATCAAGTCTGGATTTAGAACTTTTTAAGAAGAATTCGGTTTAGAAATACTGGATTTGACAAACTTCCACATAGCATCCACCTCCTTAAAAAATCACCAAGAAGATACAGAGCCTGTTTGTGCCCTTCCGTACTCGGAAACAGAGAAGGAAAAAAACAAATTAAAAGAATGCATTTCCTTTTTGCAAGAAAAGCTAAGCTAGATGAGTTTGTCAGAAATTCCCTCCCATCTTCAAATCTCTCTTCTGTGGTCTGATATTGCCCCCCACTTCTTTTATTTGTCCAGTCTGACTTGAGTCCATCTTCCACCTTCCTATATTGGTGTGTCTCTTAACAATACCCCCAAAGTCCATAGAATCTCAGACGCTGAAGCTGCTCTAGTAGTTGAGCTGATGACAAGAAAGGCAAGCGAGCTGGCACCGAGAGGACTCCCTAGAGTGCCTCCAGGAACTAGGAGGCCGTCTGCCACATCCAGTGGGAAACTCACACTGGGCCGTGCCCACAAGAGGAACCACCCTGCAGCGGGCGTCACTCTTCACATGGGTGCTCCCCAAGGTCCCACTTCTCTGCTTTGTCCTGGTAGGTACCAATGTCTTCGTAGGTATCGGCCAGTTCAACAGCCAGGCCCTGCAGAAGAACAGAGTGGATCTGAATGAAGCCACCTTCTCCCGCCCTCTTGTAGTGATAGCCCACCTCCTGAATGAGTTTGCATGTCACAGATGGAAAGCTGTTAAGGAAAGCTTTTAGGTGTTCCAGTGGAGAGGTCAAAGCAAAACACTTTGGAAGCCTGAGCTAATTCCATCAGGACACAAGAGGAGCCATGTTGGATCAGGCCAATGGCCCATCCAGTCCAACACTCTGTGTCCCATAGTGGCCAAAACCCAAGCTTTCGAGTAGGAGCCGCCGCCACCATCATCCGCCATCATTGTTCCATCTGCACCCCCCCTTTCTTCTTAATTCCGCAAATTGACCATCTCTGGAGCGGACAATACTGGGGGTGTGAGACGTTCCTGGCAGATGACAGCGCTGTAGGGACGTATATTGTTGCTACTGTATATTATTATGATTACTGTTGTTGCTTAGCATAAGTTATCTTGGAACCCCATCTTGCATCTATAGTTAAATATCTTTGGAGCACCGCGGAAGGAATTTCAGTGAATTGTATTTATTGTATTTTATACTGTTTTGTGTTGTTTTATTGCTTTAACTTCGGCATTTATGCCCCTTGTGAGCCGCCCTGAGCCTTCGGGGAGGGCGGGATATAAATTAATTAATTAAATAAATAAATAAGTGACATCAGGAGCAGTGTTCCCTCTAAGCTGAGTTAGTGTGAGCCAGCTCACAGTTTTTTTAGCCTCCGGCTCACACATTTTTGCCTTAGCTCAGGAAGGGATGGCTCCAGAGCAAAAGAATTTATGCAGTAGCCCAATCGCTCACTCACCACTTTCATGCCAGTAGCTCACTAAGTAGAATTTTTGCTCACAAGACTCTACAGCTTAGCGGGAGGTCCACCAGCGAGGCCAGAATTCTCGAAGCCCTCCCACTGTGGCTCCCCAGGCAGCAAGAAGGCAGAGCATCACTGCCCAGACGGGGTGTTCCATCTCTACCTTGTGGCCAGTAGCCACTGCTCCATCTGTTTATCCAATCCCCTTTTGAAGCTGCCGATGCTTGTAGCCACCACCACTTCCTGCGGCAGTGAATAAAGGTAAAGGCAAAGGTTCCCTTGCTCGAAAGCCAGTCGAATCCCACTCTAGAATTGCGGTGCTCATCTCCGTTTCAAAGCCGAAGAGCCAGCGCTGTCCGAAGACGTTTCCGTGGTCATGTGGCCGGCATGACTAAACATCAAGGTGCACGGAACGCTGTTACCTTCCCACTGAAGTGGTCCCTATTTATCTACTTGCAATTTCTTCCTTTCGAACTGCTAGGTTGGCAGGAGCTGGAACTAGAGACGGGAGCTCACTCCGTCATGCGGCACACTCAGGTCTCTAACTGCTGAACTACCGACCTTCCACAGCCTGCAGCTCAGCGTCTTAACCACTTGAGCCACCGCAGCAGTGAATACCATGTGTTAATTATTATCTGGGTGAAGAAGTACTTTCTTTGATCTGTTCTAACCTGACTGCTCACTGATTTCATTGAGTGCCCACAAGTTCTTGTGCTGTGAGAAAGGGAGAAAAGTACTCCTTTCTCCTTTATCCCATGCAAAATGTTGTAAACCTTTGCAAGTTATACAAAAGCTCCTCCGCAAATCTCCAGTGGACTCCAGCTCCTGAAAGCTTCTGCCGCAATTAATTTTTGTTCTTGTTTTTCCTACAAACTAATTCAGTGGCCTGTGTGGAAAGGATCAAAACAGAGATCCTTGCGAGATCTCAGCTTTTCTGGAAGCTCAGTTAGTGTCAAGGGACACCATGTTGCTGCCACTGGAATGATCTCTGTGTGGCACTTCTGCCTCGGGGCCGGGGGAAGAAGGACCAGACTGTTTGAAAAGCCAGCCTCTCTGGCAATGTTCCCTCTAAGCTATGGAGTCTTGTGAGCAAAAGTTCTACTTTGTGAGCTGCTGGCATTAAAACTGTGAGCGAGCGATTTGGAAACCGTATAAATTAGTTTGCTCTGGAGCTGTCCTTCCTGAGCTAAGACAAAATGTGTGAGCCGGAGGCTAGAAAACTGTGAGCTAGCTCACACTAACTCAGCTTAGAGGGAACACTGTGTCTCTGGCACGTCTCGTTGCGGAGACCTGCCTTCCCCCTTCTGCACTCTCACCCACAGCTCGGGACCAGGCCCCATCTGCTGCTACCTCTTGCAACGTCCTCTGCCTATGGGGGAAAAAATGCTCTTTTTCATGCTTGGTTGTTCTGAAAATCCGGTCTAGCCCCTTTTCATTTTGTCCTCCTCTCAAGAAGCTCAGGGCAGCACACAGAACTCTCCTTTCCCCAGCTGATCCTCACCAGCACTGTTGGGCCGAAGGCTGGTTCGGCTTTTGACAAAGGCCCTGCCAGGTCTCTTCTGGGAGGATTTTCGACCAGCCATGTGGCGGACTGAAATGCAGTTCTCGGGCATGTGGGGGCCCGACGGAGACCACAGCCCAGGTGGACAAGAAGCTGAAATCCCGCCCCCCATGCCATTCTCCCAGTCTGAAATTACTCCGCTGTTATCCCCACCAGGGAAACTTATGTGTAGCCATCAGTACCAGTGTTCCCCCTAAGCCGAGTTAGTGTAAGCTAGCTCACAGCTTTCTAGCCTCCGGCTCACGCATTTTTGTCTCGGCTCAGGAAGAAGGGCTCCAGAGCAAACTGATTTCTGCAGCAGCCAAATGGCTCGCTCACCAACTTTCATGCCAGCGGCTCACGAAGTAGCATTTGTGCTCACACAACTCCATGGCTTAGAGGGAGCATTGACAGTACACGTCCCTTTCGTCTGGACAGATCGCAGCTCCCTGGAAAACAGTGCAAGGAGGAAGGCCTGAGCCCTCCCCCTCTCCACACACACCCTGCGGTCCCAGGCCGAATCAAGCCTAGATGTGGTGGGGGAGCGCAGAATTCCCAGAATTCCGTCTGATCAGAAGTCTTTGCGGCTGGCCAGATTGACTCTGTAACACACCAAGTGTCCAGAGGGTGCACGAGGCACCCAAGGTCACCCCATGAGCTTCACAGCACAGTCGGGATTCAAACCCAGCTCTTCCAGATTTAACTGCTTCATTGCTGCTTACCTCATACGTGTGGTCCTCACCAGGGGCTTCCTTACCATCACCCTAAAAGAAGAAGAAGGGGGAATTAGAACCACATGCCAAGTTACTCATTGCCTGCCTCAGACTCCTTAGCCAACCATTACTCTTCTCTTCCGTACTTGCTGGTCTTGTTTCAAAACCCCACTGATGTTTTAGGGAAGCCTTGAAATTCTCCACTGAAATTGGCAAAAGAAACGTCAACACCCAGGAGGCTGGAGACAGGCAACTGGTTTCCCTCGGAGAGCTCTGACGGTGATTTGAACGAAGGACAGATACTCGTGGTCCGTGCACTTATCCCACACTGCTTTGAGGAGGAGAGTCTGAAAGTTTCTGTTTTATAAATTTGTATTAAATATTCTCGGTGGTGGCTCCACACTGGTGGATGAACTCCCGGAAGACATCAGGGCCCTGCGGGACCTTCTACAGTTCCACGGGGCCTGTAAAATGGAGCTCTTCCACCGGGCTTTTCATTAAGGAGCCACACCCATCCATATGAGGCCCTGCTTCCAAGCCTACCGGAGAGATTACAGCAGGGGTGATTTCCTGCAGGAGCGCACAGGAGCGGAGCTCTGGCAGTAAAGAGCCCAGGGGGTGGGCACATGCAACAAGCCCCACCCCCTGCTCCCAGCAGCCCTTAGTCAGGGCAAGAAGCAGCCAGGTAAGCTGCAGAGTGCCCCCCAGTCCAAAACAGTCCAGTGGCACCCTTAAGACCAGGTTTTATTCAGGTACAAGCTCTCCCTCCTCTGCGAGGACAGATCTGCACGTTTCCCCCCCCCAATAGCTAACAATCCAAAAGAGTCCAGTGGAGCCTGAGTGGTGGGTGTTGCCTTCTGACACACTTCCGGTGATGTCAGGGGGTGTGGCACATGCAAATAAGTTATGCTAATAAGTTATGCTAATGAGCTCTTGCACCTCTTTTTCTACGAAATGACCCCTGGATTACAGGCAGAGCTATTTTTGGGCAGGAACGCACAGGAACGGAGTTCCGGCCGGCTTCAGAGATGGCCATGCCCACTACAGCCAAAACCTCTGCATGTGTGGCTACAGAGGGAAGGCCTGGAGATCAACCCCCCCTCCAGCAACTCCGAGGTGGGCAGGCCAGGGGGCCCTGGAAGGATCGGGGCGGCATTTAAATGCCCGGGCTCCGCACAGCCGTGGGGCACCCTGGCAAGCCAAAGGAAGACATGGGGTGTGGCCTATTATGCTAATGAGTTCCTGCTGGGCTTTTTCTACCAAAAAAGCCCTTATAATATAACTAACATCGATATTACACTGACTGAATAGCCTGTGCGCCACTGACAAGACCCAGGCCATGCGCTTAACTGACTGTCGGATTCTGGCCATTTTTACAACGCCATGGCTAGCACTTTACGCTGTTTTTAGATTTAACATATCGTAATTTTATTCAAGAAGTTGTTTTATCTGCTGTAATTGTGTGAGTTGCCCTGAGCCAAATAAATAAATAAAAATGAAATACCCGCAAACGATCAAAATAACCACAACGCAATGCACACAACAGCGTGTCACGGAAGCCATTCGTATGTTCCATCCCAAACGTTAGCAGCGCTAGAAGTGGCCTTTCAGTGGGGACGCCCGACACACTCACCTTCCCCAGAATCATGAACAGAGGGAAGCTTACGAACATGAACAGAAGGATGGACTGGACCAAAATGATGGCGTCTTTCATGGTGTTCCGATCTTGCACTTGCTCGTAGGTGCTGATACCTTAAAATTGTTGTACATATTAGATTCCATGTCAAAAATGAAGTCAAATTAGGAGGAAGATCTATGTTTTATTTCAATTAACAAGAAAAACAGTTGGACCAAATAGTCCATCCAAAATTGACTACTTTCTTCTCAGCATATTCAGGGAATACGCTTCAACTAACAGGAAAACAATTAGACCAAATAGCTAACCATAAATTGACAACTTTCTTCTTCTTCTTCTTCTTCTTCTTCTTCTTCTTCTTCTTCTTCTTCTTCTTCTTCTTCTTCTTCTTCTTCTTCTTCTTCTTCTTCATCAATTAACAGGAAAACAATTAGACCAAATAGCTAACCATAAATTGACAACTTTCTTCTTCATCTTCTTCTTCTTCTTGAACATATTCTGAACATATTCAGGGAATACATGATATCTTATACATGGACTGACAGACCAAATAGCTAACCATAAATTGACAACTTTCTTCTTCTTCTTCTTCTTCTTCTTCTTCTTCTTCTTCTTCTTCTTCTTCTTCTTCTTCTTCTTCTTCTTCTTCTTCTTTTCCGGGAATACATGGTATTTTATACATGGACTGACATAATCAAGAAAACAATATTCAAACAGCATAATTGGTTAGAAAAGACAGTGGTAATTTGAGTAATAATCCTCTGATTGGTGAGATATAAAGAAACATATATCTACGTCAAACTAAGTGTTTACTTAACCTAACCTAAATGATAATGGGCAAGGATTCTTCATACGAGACTAAAATCTTATCTGACCCAGACATTGAAAGGTTTGCCCTAAGAACTACAGAATCATGAACTTTGTACCTATTATGTTGTCTGCTAACAATATCAGACCTACAAGAGGAAAGCCTTCTATATAACAGGCCTTTCTAACATCCTAATAAAATATTACTTAAAGAATAAATCTATAAAAACCAGAGAAATATGAATATGAACAATCAAGAAGAAAAAACCTATATAAAAAAATCTTTATATTCCCATTCATACTACAAAATGAAAATGACCTCAGTGCTTTCCTCGGACACCATATCCAACCTGGGCTGTTTTCTTGGGGCAACTGAACTTGCCAGTGCATCCGGAGGTGATCACAGTTTCCCTTCCCATCACTGAAACAGCCTAAGTTCTCCATGTATGACCTGCATTAGACTATTAAAGCAATGACGCAGTGCAACTGCACAT